AAAAATCAAAATTGAAATGCCAAAAACAGACATATAACTAAACAACAACTCCCAATTACTAAATATTCAACAAGTTTAACAAAATTGTGCAAAATATATTCCTTATCCTTACAATGCACTTTAGGGTTTTTGAAGCTACCTCCAATATGATATAAAGCAACTGGAGATCAAAACGTCTAAGTTGCTTGCTCAAGGTCAAATATCTGATAAGGGAAATAAATAAAATTTAAGCTCAAATCTGAGTGCAAAACATCTTATTATATTGCCTCTCAGAGCAAAGAGCAAGCTAACTAGTAGCAAGTGAAATGAGGTAAATGATATTCATCAGAGAAGCAAAATAAACTGAACAGAAAAAAATGACTCATATTTATAAATGGTGGTGACCAAGACACCAAGGCAAGGTAATGGCAAACTCTTCTACCCAGAGAACACACTTTTGGATTCCATTCTGTAAGTTAGGTTTAGATGTGACTTTCTGTATTCCCTCACAGAGTCTTTAAGTCTGACCAAGGTAATACTTGGAAAGACAGAAGCAGGCTCAGATTCCCCAGCAAAGGCCTGGGAGGGTCAGGATTAAGTCTCCTCATCAAAAAGTCATAGGATTACTGACTAGGCATGGTGGCTCACGCCTGTAATTCCAGCACTTTGGGAGGCTGAGGCAGGTGGATCACTTGAGGCCAAGAATCTAAGGCCAGCCTGGCCAACATGGCAAAACTCACCTCTACTAAAAATACAAAAATTAGTCATGCGTGGTAGTGGCATATGCCTGTAAATCCCAGCTACTCTGATGGCTGAGGCAAGAGAATCACTTGAACCCAGGAGGTGGAGATTGCAGTGAGCCAAGACAGTGGCACTGCACTCCAGTCTGGGCAACACACAGACAGATATATAAACAAAAAAGCAGAGTTTTTAGTTTTTTAAAATAAATTATATACTTTTTTTGCACACAATTCAGAATTTGCACACAATTCTGATCTCTTTAAGGAGCATTTTTAGGCCTGAATCTATGACTTTTTAAAAAAGTATATAATTTACTTTTTAAAAAATTAAAAGTGTGTGTGTGTCTGTGTGTGAATTTGTATGTATATAAACATGTAAACACCTTAAATTTAATACAGGCTACTTCTTATGTCAAATAGGATAATGATTTAATAAATATACGAGGTTTGATTTCTTAACAACTACTTTATAGAAATTTTATTAAATGTATACATACACATATTTTTTAAGTAAATTAAATAATATGAAAAGTAAGATAATAAAAAACAGTGACAGCCCACCCAAATTCAGTCTCCAGTTTCAACAGCTTTGAATTCTTTCTTCCTGTGATTTCCATGTTTTTCTATACAGTGTGTGTTAAGTGCTCTGTCTTTACTGATTAGTTCTGTTTGTCATATACCGAGTATTTTAAAAAGATTTTTATGTTAATTGCTTAGTATTTTCAACCCCTTCTCCCATTCTCTTCTTAAAATTTTTTATTTTAAAAATTGTCAAGTAAAAATTGTCTATATTTTAAAAAAAGAGAGAGAGAGAGAACAGAATTGAGAAAATAAAATTACGGCCCTGGGAAGGAGGCAGGCTGGCCACATGTAAGAAAGGTGGCCAGAAAAGTGGCCAGCCTCGCCAGGCTCCTGTGGGTTCTCCGAAGCTCAACACAGCCTGGCACGACTAACCTTAGGAGGCGGGTGGCAAACATTTCCAAAATCATAGCCATGAGTAGGAAATAAACGTCTTACATCACTACCCATTGGCTGAGAGCTAAAAACTAGAGCCAAGCAGTAGCAAGCTCATTGGTGACAGACCTCTGGATCCTAAAACGAGCAGCAGACAGGGATTCTGGCAGCAGAAAGCAGGCTGGGGTGACAAGACAGCCACTGACAACTGGAAATCAGAAAGGTGTTTTGGTCTGGGTTGTCCCAGAAGCAGAACTAGACAAGACCTGGAGTGCAAATAGTACATGTTTTTGGTTGTGGAGGTTGAGAGGAATCCCAAGAATACTGGTGGGGAGTCAAAAAGTTACATAGGGAAGCAAAACAATTCAATACGGTGTGCATTATCAAGCAAGTTACTCCTATAGGATACCAGAGTCTAATTTCACTAAATACATGAGGGATACAGTGTAGAACATACTTCTTCACTATCCCCACCATGGCAGGAGGGCACTAGGGCATTTACACATTAATTCCTTGCCTGGTAGTGGTTGAGGATGTATCTTGAAGACACTAATCCTCCAACAAATGTGGCTTGTCATTACTGTCACAGCCAGATAAAATCCCTATCGTTGTATGGAATAAAGAGGCTTCAGAGTTTAGAGGTGCTGCCTAGGGGTTATGGACAAGGTACCAACAGCCTCTACTGCAGTGAATACCTCTGAGTACTTTTCCACTATTTCACTTATTCAGCAGAGTAGTATAGAAAAAGAAAATGTGTGCGCTCTGCCTTAAAATAGACCTGAGTTTGATCCCACTTCAGCCATAATAACTTTGTAGCCAAAATTCTCTCAAATCAGAATTAGCCTACATTACTCTACATGATCCACTAAATCAATAAAACTAGAGTCAAATACATCATCATGAACACAATTGACTCCGTAAGGGCAGCATCTGGTCACAGATTAGTTCTATGTTAAAGAGAGGAACTAAGTACTGTTTAATTTAAAAATGTTCCATTCTTTCAACAAATTACATACTACCTGTCTTAACTTTTCATTAATAGTTTCTGATTAAGAAAGTTGTAAGAAATGCATGTACCATGTCAGGCTTTTGTGGAGGTGAGAGAGGATATATTTTAAGTATATTTCACAATTCTTGGTACATAGCAAACACTCAAAAATATGTCTGGTATTGGTTCCTTTTTTCAATCACTTTAAAAATAATAAGAACAAATGTTTTTGATATGTTCCATGTTCCAGGAACCAGGCTTGAGTGTGGAAATATACAGGAGTATGTATATGGTTGTCCTTGCCAGGAGCTTGTTGTCAAAGTATAGAGAACAGACAGGCACAAATAATTAGGGAGATATAGTAAGCACTAAATTTTTTTAGAAGGAGAGAATTCTTTCAGTTGAACAAACTGTAAGATTAAATATTCCGATGAGGAAATTTATAAGGATTTTTGAAATATAATACATTGTTTCATAAGCTTCAAGAGAACAGGTCCCTAGGCTGTTTTAATTGCTGTATCACTGGTGGAGAGGACAAGACCTGACTCATAGTCCAATACTCAATAAATATGTACCAACCAAATGACTGTGAAGAATATGGAAAGTGCTTTCTAAACAGAGATAATGACTTGAGCAAGTAAGAGGAGGCAGAAAAGAATCAGGTGCAAAGAAGATATTGAACGATCAAGTTCAGCTGCAACTCTACATCCATGCAGATAAGAGGTAATGATTCAGCCTGGAAGAGTAGTTGAAGTGAGACGAGACTAGCAGAAAACGTTGAATATCGGTCCAAGGTGCTTGGATTTTTGTAGCAAAGTGAAGCTATTGAAGGCGGGAAATAACCTGATAAAAATGGTGATTTGGAAATTTGAATCTGGCAGTAAAATGAAGAAAGATTAGAGAGGCAGCAGGCAAAGGGACAGGTTAGAGGCAATTCATTGTCCAGGCCAGGTACATCTTAGTATTGATGTTCATATGCTTCGCTCCAAATTACCACAAGCACTGACTGCTGCAAGCTGATTCTTGCTGGCATCAAGGACAGAAAGGTAGGGATATTTATCTCTGGCTATAACCCCCACATGAGACAACATGTGAATAAAGCAATCTGTTCACCCATATGGACCCCACAAGTTTTATAAATGTGAGTAAATTCACTCATAACTGGCATTTCATATAATTAAATTTAGCAGAGGTTAATCATCAAAACTACATCAATTGCAATTTCCCATTTTGGGGAATGTTTATCAATTAAGCAGAAAGAAACATACATACACATACAACATCAACAACAAGCAACAACAACATTTTCCAGCCAAAATTATCTAACTCTTCTATGTCCTACATGGTACACTTTATTAATAAAACCACAATCAATCAATACTCAATATTATGAACACAACTGAAACTATGAAATAAATAGTTGATCGTTGGTTAGCTTGGTTAAGGTGGACAAAAGGGTACTATTTGAGATAAAAATGCCCACCTGTATCTGGATAACTTCATGACTGTCAGCCTGAAATATACCCATGGGAAATATATTTCTTTGTAAGCACTCATTTTGTCAGTCATTTTACAAGTATATATTAAATGTGTATATGTATGGCAAATGTGACAGGAATAACCTAGATTTCAGGGAATAAATAAGAATACAAAATGACTCTTTTGCTTGAGAAATTTCGAGTCCATTGGGATACATTAACAGATGCTATGAGAGACAGGAAGGTAAAGAAATGGATGTCTTTAGAAAATCAATATGTATGTATTAAATGTTGGCCATATAAAGTCTTGTGTTATTTACCATTATCTGTAGAAGATTAGAAGATAAAGCTTAGTAATTTTTCAAAATGCAGATATACTTATGGATTTTCAAACTAAGGTAATATTAATAAATGGATATGTTGCTTTCACTTCTCATTTAATAATATTTTTATTGAGCACCTAGTATATTCTAGGCATTGTAGTAGACAATATGGATTTAATGATAATTAAAACATGTTCTGGCCGGGTGCAGTGGCTCACACCTGTAATCCTAGCACTTTGGGAAGCCGAGGTGGGTGGATCACCTGAGGTCAGGAGTTTGAGACCAGCCTGGCCAACATGGTGAAACCCCATCTGTACTAAAAATATAAAAAATTATCAAGGCGTGCTGGCGTGTGCCTGTAGTCACAGCTACTTGAGAGGCTGAGGCAGGAGAATGGAGTGAACCTGGGAGGTGGAGGTTGCGGTGAGCCAAGATCGTGCCACTGTACTCCAGCCTGAGCAAAAGTGCAAGACTTCATCTCAAAAAACAAAAACAAAGAACAAAAAACAAACACACAAACAAAAATCATGGTCTTCAACTAAATAGTTTATTAGGCAGTGTGATGTATCTGTCAGGCTAAATTATATTGTACCAACAACTTCAGAATAAACAAGATGTATTTTTCAGTCATGCTACTTACATATCGTAGTTCAGCCTCACCTCTGTTTCGTATAGTCTTCAAAACAGGACAGGGTTGATGGGAAAATCTCTATGTGAAATATGGCTGCTCCTGTGGCAGAGAGGAAAAAGATGAAGACACATGTCACTTCTGCTCATATTTAATTGTTCAATGTACAGCCTATGACCATCATAAAACCAACAGGATGGGGAAGAAAAAACAGCTTGCAGGAAGATATATCCCAGGGGCAGAGCTAGGATATTTGGTGAACAATATAATCTACTGCAGTGAGTCAGCTAGGGCTACAAACTCTCCCAGTAGAAATTTTCATGGTTCTCAAAAGAAATCATCATGGACGTACTTAGTAGTTGATAAAACCCTCAGATTGATTATTTATCCATGAGCTGTTATGATAGAAAAGATCAAGGACAAACATGAAATTATCCTCACCCTCTAATGCTCAGCACAAAACTAACAACAATAGCCCATCATGAGTGGAACGGCCCAATGAGAACTGAAAAATTTGTTTGTACGGCCTCATAAATTTAGGTTATTTTTGTCTACAGATCACAGTTCACAGAGAAGAACAATTTGCAATAGGGTGAACACTAAGAGTCTTGCTAAGCTTAACATAAAATTAGGCATGTTTTCTCTCAATATATTACTTTTCACTCCTTTGAAATTCTATTGCTTCTGCTGTTACTGGCACTACCACCATTAACACAACCACCACCATCACTGCCACCACCATAATGACCACCATCACCGCCACCACTATCATGAGCAACATCATCACCACCACCATCATTGCCATCACCACCATCACCACCACCATCACAACCATCACCATCACTATCCCATCATTAACTCCATTACCACTACCACCATCACAGTCACCACTAACATTACATCACCACCACCACCACCATCACAACCATCACCACCACTATCCCATCATTATCTCCATTACCACTACCACCATCACAGTCACCACTACCATTACATCACCATCACCACCATCACAACCATCACCACCACTATCCCATCATTATCACCGTTACTACTACCACCATCACAGTCACCACTACCATTACATCACCGTCACAACCATCACCACCACTATCCCATCATTATCACTGTTACCACTACCACTATCACAGTCACCACTACCATTACATCACCACCACCACCACCATCACAACCATCACCACCACTATCCCATCATTATCTCCATTACCACTACCACCATCACAGTCACCACTACCATTACATCACCATCACAACCATCACCACCACTATCCCATCATTATCACCGTTACCACTACCACCATCACAGTCACCACTACCATTACATCACCGTCACAACCATCACCACCACTATCCCATCATTATCTCCATTACCACTACCACCATCACAGTCACCACTACCATTACATCACCATCACAACCATCACCACCACTATCCCATCATTATCACCGTTACCACTACCACCATCACAGTCACCACTACCATTAAATCACCATCACCACCATTACAACCATCACCACCACTATCCCATCATTATTTCCATTACCACTACCACCATCACAGTCACCACTACCATTACATCACCACCACCACCACCATCACAACCATCACCACCACTATCCCATCATTATCACTGTTACCACTACCACCACCACAGTCACCACTACCATTACATCACCAACACCACTGTCACAACCATCACTACCACCCTCATCATCATTACCACAACCATCACCATTACCACCAGTGTTATCACCTTCACCAGCACTATTACTATCAACATCACAACCATTTCACTGCCAGCTTTTACTGAAGACTCTTTTGTGCTTTATATGCATTTTTAAATTCAGTTTAATGTGCAATGATCTTATGAGGTAGATACCATGGCTATCCCTATTTTATAAGTAAGACAAGTGAGGCTTAGTGAATTGTTTTAAATGTTCCAGGTTTTCACAGCTAATAGGTGATAGACTCTGAAATTCAAATCCTGGAATTTTCATGTCAAAACTTAAGAACGTAAGCAATAAACAAATTATCTCTAAGTGGCATTAATTTAATTAGAAAGTACATAACTTGTCTTTCTCCATGATAGCAAAAACAAAACAACAGTAACAACAAAACAGTGTTCCACTTGTTTCACTGTTATTGACTGGTAGCAGAAAATCACAGGGTTGGGACCAGAAGATGTCTTGTCTTTTCCAGTTTCACTGCCAATTGACTGTGTGACCTTACAGAGACCTGTTAACCTCTCTGAGGTATAGCTGTACAACTGAGAAGATAATCTTAGATTGCCTTACCCAGTACTGGTAAGAGGGATCAAAAAATGCACGTGAAATCTCAATGTGAACTATCATTCTTAGAGAGCCTAAATTACCATGATTTCTGCTTAATTTTTCTCTCTCTGGAAAGCTAGTCTCTCTCTCCCTCACATAATCTTAGATTATGGCCTCTAGTCCATCTCTGGAGGGATACTTACAATTTTACTACAAATGATTATCATAAATATTTGAAGTTACTACGTTTTCAATAGCAGAACAATTACCATTTTTCATCTTGATGTCTAGCAAAAGAGGCTACATACGATTGGACAAGGTCCTCAGAGGGAGCAGGTCATTAGGAAGTTTCCCAAATGCTCCCAGTTCAATTGGAGGGCAGGTGATGAGGGAGAAGTAAAAGCTCCTAGTCACCTCAAAGAACCGTTTCTTAAAGGAGGTTCTCTGACTCATGAGCTTCTAACAACTCTTTAATTATTCTGGACACAAAATGACTATCCCTTTATTTCATCCAGAAAGAAAATGAAGGAGGAATTCCCCATCTCCACAGGTCAGCTTCTTATCTGGCTTGTCTTTTATGAACAGAATTGACAAGATCCTACACAGAATAGAAGACCTCAGGGGACACTCTGCCTTGGAGTGTATTCCTGAATGACTGACTTCTTGGAAGGACACTTTGAGCTTATTCTGCACAGGTGATGTGCTGCTCACAACCTCCTGAGTCATTCCGGACCTACCTGCAGAACTTTACCAAATATAAACAACCACCATAGACATTAAAGAAGAATATATTCAATTCTACAGAACCGCTCGCACTCCCTTGACATAAGATTCACCAACTACAGAATCTTTGCAAAAGTAGACATGAGTTCTTTCTCTGGATAAGGCTTCATTTTTATTGTTTTAAATGCAATTAAGAGTGAGTTATGGGATAGTAAGATATAGGAAGCTGTCAAAAGGCTTTTACTGTTCCTTTTATATATGCATAGTTCTATTAAGCAATATTCAGCTATTTCCTGCATTTATTTTATTACTTTGGCAAGGAGGAAATTATTTCAAACATGGGTAGAATCCTGCATCCTCATCTGGCCTCACCTACTTCTTTAAATGGGTGAATACTTAAGAGTTTGCCTGTAACTCTCAGCCCAAATCCAAGGATTCAAACACACAAAGGCTTCCAAAATGTAAAATGTTCTGATTTCTTTATTTTCCCATATGGAGCAGAAATAATGTGCCACAAAAACCTCCATTCATAACTTTTTGAGGTTATTTGAATACTAAGATACACATTTTACTATATTCTCTAATTAAACGGAACACATTTTCTGAAATAGAGAGGATTTTCATTGGCATGTTGCAGACTTTACCTGTTATTTTGCCTTATTGCAAAGTGTATAATTTTTCTTCTCAGCAATGGCACATACATCTTAATATGACTTATGTTAGAAAAATAGCCCATCATCAGAGAATATTAATTGCTCTTGTTTTCTCCAAAAAGAGAGGAAAAAAAAGTGGTATTCATTGCAAGAGCAGATCCATCTTCAGGTTTTCAAGGGAACTTAATGCAATGTTTCCCATAATATCCTTCCCATAAATGTTAGGCCCTAGAGTCCTGCCAAGTGGCTAGTTCTGTTTCTCCATTGTTCATTTACAAAAAAAGCCTTCTCTGTAGACACAGTCAGGGCTCTTCTTTATTTTTCTGGATTGTCTCCATAAACTACTTATTTTTGTCTGAATTTCTGCCTTTAAAAGAGTTATATGTCATTTTTAGTTCATATTCAAAGTATTGCTGTATGTCTTACACTAAGGGACAACATTGTGACTTTAGAAATTATATTTTAATTTATTTAAAGTGATAGGAAATATTTTCTCATGGCTGGGTTGAAAAAAAAGTCGGTGTGTGCAGAGTGCAATGCCAATAATACAGTGGCAGGCATATATGTGCATACAGCATTTGCTGATTTTATTGTTCTTGCTGGTGCTCCCTCTCCCATTGCCATAGGACTAAACCATTCCAAAAGCATCTCAAAATTCTGCAACAACATTTTCCCTGATCCTTATACTTTAATATTTTTTTACATCTATGGTTTTTCACAGTACTCTCTTCCTGACCACCTCTTAATATGTGACTGTTACAATTGTTGCTTTTGCAAATGTATAAGCCCTAGCCTTAGACTGTAAGCTTCCTCAGAGTGGGTATAATTCCTTAAGCAGTTTAGTGTGACCTAAGTTACCTGCACATTGCTTGACACTAAGTAGGGTCTTACGGACCAAGTAAGTCCTTAAAATGATTATTGAATATATATTTTAAGAATAAGATACCAGATGATGAAAAATAGTTATACCAAACAAGAGCCCATTAGCCCCTTATAAGCTGTATGTCAGTCATCTCCCCAGGCTGTTGGGAACATAGAAGAATAAAGTCATAGAGATGGTGAGGTCTTAAGAAACACAGAGTTGGTTGTAAAGCAGGAAGTGTCTACACTGTTGCATTTATTACATTTGTTTTTCGTGTCCATGCATCAATGGCTTAAATTTCTAACACTCTGGAGAGAATGACATTTTGGATGTCACTGGGTCACCATTACAGCACAATCCAGGTTTCACCTGGTGCAAGGAGAAGGCAGTGGGCTCTCAGAAACTTTGGCAGTAGGAACTAAGCATTTTCTCCCACTAGGATTACACACAATGTGAGAAATGCTATTTTTCAAAAACAAAACTAGGTGATACTAGAAGAATACCGGATACTGGAAAATCGAAGATGATAAACATTTATTAAACCTCTGTTTGCTTAATAAATGGAATGTAGA